CCTGCCTTCTGAGTAGATAAAGTGTTGTAGCCTGCTACTCCCACAACAGGCTGAATAGCCACAGGAAATCAGGTTTGAAACAAGAAACCTCTGGACATCTATGTCCCCATCAAGCTATTTCCCTTCTCTCCCATTTTAAGAGCATGACTCAAACAAAATAAAGGAGCCAATAGAAACACGACAAGCTAGGTTCCCAGGCTTCTGCTGTATTCCCAGAGGAAACAACACAAATTATCACAGCCCTGGCTGTGTTAGCATCTGCAGCTTTTCCCACTGAGTAATGAGTCCTTCCTACAGAGGGGCTTCAAAGAATTGCCACGGTAGGGCAAGCCACTAGAAAGATCAACTGATCTCTCAGTAAGCAGAATAAGCCAATGAGTATATTACAACTTTGCACTGCTGAATGATGGTGCTCACATGTAATCTTTCCACAAAGGTTCAACTTACTCACAACATGCTTTTTGATAACATTTGTTTTCAGTTAAATGCTGTTAGGGAAATACTCTTCCAACTACGATTCTAACGGTCTCTCCCCCACTGCCTCCCAAAATTGGCAGAGGGAAGGCAGCAGAGGTGGCGGGGGTGTAGACAGCCCCTGTTGCTGGATGGGCAGAGGCAGAGGCAATTTACCCTTGTATAAGGTCCTAGTTTCTTTGGAAGGGCAAGATTTGGCCCTCCAGTCTTAATTTTTACTTCAATTTTATGGGGTTTTCTGTTAAATACATTCTAGTTTTCATCTATATTTTAAATTCTTTTACTTAAACTGGCAACTTATATACCCTTGCAACACCAAAAAATGGTGAATACAGTGTCAATGCCATATTTCTTGTTAACATAATAGTAATGTTGGGGGTGGGGGGAAGGAAGGAAGGAAGGATTCTGCTTATTCTGAGCAAAACCTGTTATCTAACTTTCCTGCAGAAGAAGAGAGGACTTGTAAAGCTAAATAAACAGTATGATACTTTTCAAGTGTGAACATGTCAGCAAAACCAAAATCATAAGAGTTTATGTAAGATGCTTGAAAAAATAAAACTTCTAGATATTTGTTTAACACTAGAACATTTGTTTCAGTAGATTCAATGGATTTTTCCCTTTGCTTATGCTTACCTAGAGACATTTGAGGCCAGCCTGGATACTCAAAAGGGAACTCCCACCAGAAAATGAATAGTATTTGGAGACTTTCCACTTAGACTTCATGGACATTGCATATAAATGCACCCTTCTCCAGTTGTGAGCAATTTGTACTAAAGTACTGTATTGATTTTCCCTTCTCCCAAGCATATTTGGGATCAGTTCAAAAAGTCTGTTGTATTCTCCAATCAGTTAAACGAAATGGATACTCTTTGTCCATCTCACAAACCTTGTCTATATCAAAAGCTAGTTTTGCATGACTATATTACTGCTGGGGCAGAAAACAGCAGATGGCGCTGTTAGACAAAGACAGGGTAAATTTGCACCTTTATAGACTAACTAAATCAGCAAAAGCTTTCATAAATAATGGGCTTACCAAAGAGCCAGAAACTCCCTCTGTGATGATGCCAATCCCAGACAACTCCATGGTACAATAGCAAAGGAACCAGATAAACTCTTAAAGAAGCTACTTCTGGAACTGTCAAAAGATTCAATCTTCCGCTTCCCAGAAGCCCAAGCAGACAACTTTTACTTATTACTCAAGATATACCTACAGAAGAATAGCATGGCCATTAGCACATACATGGACCCATAATATGCCAATATATTTATGACAGACCTTGAAGTCTGCTTCCTCTGTGACTGCCCTCTCATCCTCCTGGTATATCTAAAATACATTCAAATGAAGACAGCCAGATTCAGACACCTCCCCAACACCAACCCTAAGACAAGGGCAACAGAACTCTTTTGGTTGGTACCTGCAACCCCTGGTCTCAGATACATTTTTAAGGACCAAAGATGATCATCTCAAGGTAGCCATAGGGGATAAATCTTTCCAAGCTTACATGCAGCCCCACATTCCCAAACAATATCTTTCCATCAATGGACAACCTAACTCCTTTTCTCACCAGGTCACCAGACCTTGCTCTAGACCCAAATGCCAGCTGTGCCCTCATCAACCACATCATCACTGAACTAAATAACAAATATCCTAATAGCTAAGATTAAACTACCTGCAACTCTACCAACGTTATATGCACCATCACCTGCTTACAATGCCCCTCTGCTGTCGATATTGGACAGATAGGAGACTCCCTAGATGTAAGAATGAATGAACAGAAATCTCATGTTAATACCAGACAGGGACAAGCCTGTGGCAGAACACTGGAGCCTTCTCTGGACTTTCCATTGCTGACCTCAGGGGGCTGTTCTTAGCTTGAAAAAATAAAACTTGAATGGGAAATTACAGAACAGAAAACACAAAATAAAACACAAAAACTTGAAAAAATAAACTTGAATGGGAAATTACAGAACAGAAATTCATACACAGATGGGGTTGTGTTAAGTGTGGTTTAAACTACGGACTACAGATTTTTATCCCATTACCTGGATTCATTTTTATGAGCCCTATGTTCCTCGATGCATTAACTGTTTTGTTTTTCCTCTCTCTCCTACCCACCTTACCAATCCCAAGAGTCCCTCTCCTTTCCCTACCCTTTGTATTTGAATCACAGCTTTCTATTTAGCAGCAATGGTTCTTGCAGTCCCTTCACAGTAAGCCCTCTGCTTATAAAAGCTGAACTCTATAGACTAAATCAGAGACAAAGGTGCAAATCTACCCTGCCAACTGCCTGATCAGACTAACATGTGAATGTCATACAAAGTTTTTCATTGTTATGATGAAGCACAATTTGCCATCCTTAAAGACAAGGGAAAAACAAAAAATTTTCCTGATGGATATTCTTTAATGTGAGCTGCAAGGGAGCATCTCCTCTTCCTTTACCTCTTAATCTGCATCAATTTTTAATAAGGAGCCACATTTGGGCCAATATCAGTAGAGAAAGGTTACTTAAAAATTGTTTGTGCCCACTGCCAATTCAGGATGGATGTTTCCAGCCTTTACAGTACTAGTTTCTTCTGGACAGTTTAAATGTGTGATGACGGTTATATTGTCTAAACTTTTGTCACTGCGGCATTTAGGCTTTGTGTGAAAGGAGCCTGACAACTTTCACCTACAAATGGTGGATCAAATGTTTCTTTCATAGTGACTAAAACTGTATTCCATAGCGAGCAACTATGATGGCAACTGTCTTTGGCAAACCCACGATTAATTTTTATTTCACCCATTTGTCAAAGGAAGTGTGGAAAACTGATAGTACTCATCTTTTCTGAATACTGGCTTCCTTGGAGAGCTAGGAAAACCATGTGACTACTTATAAATCTGAAGTTCTTTACATGTGCTGTACTGAGAATATTGTTTTTGGCAGCTGGATTAGCCTGATGCTTCTCTGTTGAATAGCAAGCCCCACTGCTTTAGAGTTAGTTCACCCCGCAGGCACCTGTTCCAGCCAGTAGTTACATTATGACATCTAGTCACCTCGGTGGGTATGGATAAAAATATGCTCCCATCCTTGAGCTGGTGTCAGAATTACTGTTACATCTCAGAAAAGTTTGAAGATAGTATGCCAGGGATGACTTGGTGTGTTTGATAATGAAAGCATTAAGTGGTTGTAACCAGCTTATAAAAACAACAAATAGCCTTCCTCCTAACAAGTCCATGGATGCTTGTGCCATAGCGCTTGCATCAAGGCCTGTAAGAGGAACTTCATATGTCCAGAGGTCCAGTTTCTGGAGGATGGAAGGAGTTGCCCTGTTTAGATTCCCTTTCCTGAGAAGGTAGGATTCCTGAAATTTACAGTTTATGGAAGCCTAAAGAATAAAAATCAGATAATTGAAAACTTTCTTTTATAAGTACTAATAGTAGTTATGGCTCACCAATAAGAGAACACCAGTCCTACTCCAAATGATTGTTTGAGAGTATAATTAAGAGAAGGGATTTGCTCCTGAAAAAGCAAACTTTTTTCTCTCTATATCAAAAAGACTGCAGTTTGGGATACAGAGGAACCAACAGGGCTCTGAAGCAGATTGTCCAGTTCAAGCTAATCCATTAACTAAAAGCAGCATATAACCCAAAACATCATTTTTACCAAACACACCACTGTGCATTTTGCATGCTTTGTGTATTTTGCATGCTTTTTCTTCACTAGAAAAACAAAGCAATTTCCACCTTGAGCTATATAGGTTAAAATGCTAGAAGAATGGAATGTGGAAACAAATCATTCTTTTAACACCCACAAGTGAATTTTTTGTGTGAGCTGAACCTACAGAGAGCACCACTTGGGATTCTTGTACTTTGCTTCTGTACAGGATGGATTTATTTTCTCCAGTACTATGGTTGTCCCCAAGATTTCTTTGCAAAGATAATATGCTTTTGTTCTATTTCCCCCTGCAGCTTTCTGTTTATAGGGAATTCAAACACAGAAAATTTAGCAAATACACAGACTTTTTTTGACCATGTCAATTTATGGGACATCAGATTTTATATTATATAATATGGCCAAATTCTTACTTCAGCTACGTGCTGGACATTATAGTTCAGTACAACAAAATAATTGCATACCTGAACAAAATAGTAGTATTTATGATAGGATAGGCACCTTCCATGAAATAGATAAACAAGGCTCTCTATTTTTTTAAAAGAGGCCCAGTGTAAGTTTTAAGTAAAGTTTAGCTGTTGTTGAAGTTAAAAAGAATTATCCAGATAGGTCTAGATAAAAAAATAGGTAAGTCATATTTTAAGCCATATTCTGGACTTGAGTCCTTTGAATCTTGTAAACAAATGCAGTTTGTGTAGATAGTGTCTGAGCTGCAGTGACCTAGTTATCTGGTCAAAGGGCTGCATAGAGCTGAAAGATAGACTGAGTTAAATTTTAACCTGCAGGGACTGTAAACCAACCTGAGGCTGCTGAACCTTTGGAGTTTGATATGATGATTAGAGAATAACCAGAGTGACACGTCGCAAACTCCCCATAATCAAGAAGAACTTTTCCAGGTGACGATCTCTGAAATTGCTCAGGTAGAGTACGCGTTTGTTTTTTCCACTCTAAGTTTATAAATGAGACAATAGTATTTTTTGATGTTTTGTTAAAGGATGCTTTCATCAGTCTGTGTTCTTATAGGATTTGTAGGGATTGCCTGAAATACAGCTCTTGCTGCAAAAAAACAACTTAGTTTGTGCACAGCAGTATGGACATAAATTGTGATCCCAACTTCTACAATTCTCAGGGTTTTTTGCTTAATTTCTAAAAATTTCCGAGTTAGAGATGAGCATTCTGGAAAGGTCATGAGTACTGGACATGCCAGGCTATGGTAGATTTCTGTCTAGCATAGCTAACAGCAAAGGGCTACAGCAGACAACAGCTAGACACAGCTTTTAACTGTTGATTGGATTTCATGCAAACTCTCCTTCCTAAAAGCACAAAGATGATGTCCTCAATTTTAGCAACCCAGAAGGCACGATACGACATTCAAGCAACAGCTTGCCTAACATTTCTGTATGGACAGTGGTGAGTGGATGCCTCTTAAATGAATGTAAGTGACCAACCACGCTTTATTGAGAAATGAGATTGACAGAGGAAAGGAGACTTTAGACAATTTGCTTTTGATTTGTTAAAACACAACTTTCCATAGCTAATCATTAGATACATGATGATGTTTCGTATCAGCCTGTGTACACCTCCTGTTGTTTTCTCAATATTCCTTCTTCCCTGCAGAAAGAGTTAATCTGTTTGAGACAGTCACTTCTCTTAGACATCTGTTTCATATACAATACCTAGTCAAAACAGCAATACTTTGAGTGTTTAATATATTATGATCCAAGTAGTTTCCTCCTTCACTCCCCCACTTTCCCACTTCCAAATACACACAGTTTGAATGGCTACATATATGGGGCTGTGGATGACTTTAAAAGTCTATTTAATTTAAAAGCATTTTTTGAGTTTAACAACCAAGAGAAATGGGTTTATATTCAGAAACTGTTGTAGTTCATTCTTAGGAGGATATTTGAATTCTGGATTCAAGGCAAAGAAACCTAAAAAGCTGAAACAATTGGAGATGAATAAATGTTTAACTGTATGGCCTAAGAAACTCATCATTAAAAGCTCCAGGCACAAGTCTTTTAAAAAAGTAAATAAGATAAGTAAGCAAGCTAAACATTTTTGCACACGCTGTTTACAAGAGAAGTATTAATACAATGAGAACTCAGTACAGTGGAACCACCATGTGGATTTACTGCTCTTTTGAACAGTCTGGATGTGGTTTAGCTCTAAGACATATGCTTTACTACCTCCACACATACCAAGCCGTAACTATTTCTAGTGGGACTGTTCAAAGTAAAACAAGGCAATGTAGAAGTGGCATCATTGGACCCTACTGTTGCACTGCTAGAACAGGACCCAGTTCTGGACCCAGACACATACAGCCAAAGTGTAAGTACACTAAGTTATCCTAACATTTTCCCAGGACTAATCTCAATGAACCTAGAAAAAAACAGATACATTATTCTCTTCAAAAGAATTGGGAAACATTTATTTTAGAAAGAAATAGAAAACATTACCAAGGCATTAAGGGGGAAATATATGCTTAAAATTCTAGTTGATAATATAAAAACTAAATAAGTACTAAAAGAATGACATGTTTTCCTTCATTAAGAGGTGAAAATTTAGTGACTAGAACTCACTCAAGATGTTAATTTCATAAGTGTTTGTGCTCTGGGGACAATTACAAAAGAACTTTCATTAAACTTCAGTGACTCAATATATTCAAACAAGAAATTATATTGATCTACACAGGATAAACACCATTTTGTTATCCTGTTCATGGAAACAGTAACTAGGTTTCTCAGAAGAACATTGCTAACATGCAAGCCTGAATGAAAAAAGCAGCTCAGAAGAGTAGCATCAGAAATGTACGTTTTCACTGAAGTAGAAAAATCATTTGCAGATATCAGTTAACTGCGTTACTGATCTTAGCATAAAGCATATGTTGCTACATGAGTATTTGGACATTGAGACCCTAATAATACACAGCATATGATAAAAAGATCTTACAGTTTTTCTCCTTGTTCAGGCACTCAAAAGCCAGATGATGGGCTAAATTCCAGGTCTTGTTCAGTATTTTCAGGGACATTCAAATGCCTATTAACTGGGCTCAGTAAGAATTATGTAGCACCGTTCATCCTGTAGTATACTCGCTTTTCTCATTCTCTAAACTAATAACTTCATCCACCAAAACAGGCATTTCTGTGGCACAAGAAGAGCTGAACAACTGTTTAGGAAAGCAAGAATAAAAAATATGACTGTCAGTATTAAAATTATTTCTTATCAACAGTAGCATGATAGGTGGTGAGCAAGGCACAAGCACCCCATACTGTCTAAGGGTGGGACAGGGTTGCTGGAATGGAGCTTGGGGGGAAGGGAGGTCTCACCCTCCTGACCCAGTTCCCCTGCCCTCCACCCCTACCTGCCCCTCACCCTGCAGTGACTCTGGCTCCAGCATCAGGAAAGTGAACAGAGGTGGTGATGCATGGTGCAGGAGCAGTAGCCAGAGGTTCAGTGTTGCAGGGGGAGATATCAATTTTTGGTGCTACCAACACAGTGTCATTTAAACCCAGACTTTTATTTAAAAGTGATTAACATAAAAAACTAGATTTTGGTTTCCACTCTTGCATAATAACCAGAATATTTAGGATCAGGGTCCATGAAAATCTTTTATATTAGAGTATGATCACTTGAGCAGCTTTTTAAAAAAATGTAATAATATGCACCCTCAAAAATTTACTGTAGTCATTAACGGCTTTCCAATGATATGCACTGAAATATTAGTTTTTCCTTTTGGGCACTGTAGCTTTTCAAATTTGTTACTAGGAAAGTAACAGCTCCCCTTGATTCCTCTGACAGCTGCTCTTCTTGGTGCTTTCGTGTTACCCCAGCTATGCTCAGGCTAGCTATAATGCTAAAAATCTGGAAATAGAAAGAGGACTAGGGTAGGTAGTATCTTGTATTATAAAATGGATACTTAGGGGCTAACAAATAGAATTTCTCCTACAAATTGGGTGTCACATAAAAGCTAACAGAGGAGGAGGAAGACTCAAACACAGCTGATCACAGAATGACTTCAAGCCATTGATAGATGTGGCCATTAAAAAATTGTGAACTTAAGATGATACCCAGGTTCCAGAACGATTAATTTGAACTAGAATGGGTTCAGAGGAGTCTACTTAGATAATCATGAAAATAGAGCACTTGCTTTAGGAAAAGACTGGGAAAACTTCTCATGTTTAGTCTTGCAAAACAAAGGCTGGAAGGGGAATAGAATTGTCCTGTGTAAATAGATCAGGGATTTAAATAGCAAGAAGGAAAAGCTATTTAAGGTAAAGGACCATACTGGCACAAGAAGAAATGGGCATAAAACTAGTTATGCATAAATTTAGAACAGAGGTTAAAAGAAGCATCCTAACCAAAGGAGTGAGGTTCTTGAAGAAGAGAGGAGTAGCAGTGGCAAGAAACCTAAATTTAAGAGTGCTCTCGATCAATTCATGAATCTTATGATATGGTGGCTCTCAGAAGGAGCTGAGAAACCACAAGGTGCCTTCTAATCTTAAATCTGTACCCTTAGTATTGTAGAATACAGTGATAATAATAATCTGTTCTAAAATCACATGCTAATTTTGAGTTATAAATTCAAATGTGGAGATGTTTAAAATGCAGTTAGTAGGAGTTTCAGCTTGGAAGATGTCCCCCCAAATGGATAGAAAAGGAACGGCAACAGCAAAATCTAGGCATGGATGATTAGTCCTTTTTATGAGAGCTTGTGAAAAATCACAATAGAAGCCAGGGTGGAAATAGGAAGGTAGGAGTACTCTGTCCTTAATATCTGCCTGGGATCCTCCAATCTTGTTCGCCATTCAAAAACTACTATAACTATACCATAACATAAGCAGCCATGAAGATACTACAACCATGCCCTGTTATCTAATGCCTACCTTTGATAGCATTCATGAAAGGTATTACTTTTCCTATGGTCTAAGTCATAAGGCAATTTTCCAGACACTAAAGAATGTCTGTTACTGAAGCTCCACGGAGTCAGTAGTAACTCAGAGGTACAAAATTACATAGATTTTGACCATCTGTTAAGCCTCTTTGTTCCTTCTGCTTTAGAGAGTTTTAAGACACTCGTTCATTCAGCTGTCAAATGTTGTACTTTTGGTAAGTTATAGAACTGAATAAGATATTGTTAACTTTAGTCATATTGATCTAGCATTAGTGTAGTCCAACTATGATATCTACTCATGAAAAAAACCAACACACAGTTATAAAACACTATTTAATAATAGTAGATTAAGTCTCTAGAATCTTCAAAGGACAAAGGGAAAAACAGGCATCTCTCAGAGATATTTACAGTCCATATTTGCTACCATCCATTTTGAAGATCATTTGTAATAATGAAAATTGTCTTGCTAGTGGTTGTGTACAGCTGTATACAGCCGAATTTTTCAGTTGCATCTAGTGCATCAGACTCTTAATATGCATTGGTAACATTTAATTATATTGTGTAATGGTCAATACAAAGCCTATGTATCACATAAGACATGAGTACATGTATAATTTGTTCAAATGGATGTTAGTCATAGATCCTCAGGTTCTGTACAAATTAGCTCAAGATATTATGCCACAAACCTGGGTTTTTGAGCTAATCAAGTGATTCCAGAAGGATGTTGAAATAACTAGACCTTCAGTAAATCATTTACCTTTAGCTATTACAAATCATCAAAAAGTCAGTTACAACATAGCTGGCTTTCTTCTGCTAACTTCTGACAAGTAATACATCACAAAACTTGCTATTTATTTTATCAATTTAAAATTTACATCAAATAATAAAATTGCAAATAATCTGGGTCTTCAGAGTAAAATACATACAAAAGTGTGTATCAGCCAAGAAACAAATGCTATGAAAATATGCAGTAAGTATGAGGCACAGAAATTACATTGATTCCTACAAGCTCTTAAGATGGATCCTATCATTTCTTACAAGACTTAAACTTAAAATATTAAGCAAATTGTGGCCAGGGGAAGGGAGTATATTAAATCTAATATCAATACATCCAACAAAGTTTTCACAACGATCATAGATCATTAATCTGTTCTTGGTAAATTCCTGCCTCAAGTCCTTATTTTATGATTGAGCTACAGTTTGATTTTTCTTGGGGAAAAAAAATTAATCATAGTTAAAGTCTAAGTGATAGATAACAAGAGATGTTGTTGTTTAAGTTAAATTTTTCTCACTGGACAATGTTATGCCTTTGTCTACTAAATTAAAAAGCACACCCCCGCCCTTTTTTTGCCAGAAAACTGCTTCGCATGCGACTATGTCCACACCATGAAGCAGTAATGCCTTCATCTTCTCCTTTAGTAAGCTAAATTTAGGAGGTTTAAGTCCTTCAATATAAAGCAGATTTTTTAGAACTCAATTCTTATAGCGGTTTTATTTTTGTTTCATTTTTTGAGCCTTTTTCAAACTCGGTTTGTTGGCTG